ACTTTGTGTGGTTTCCCAGTTTTGCATCAGTCATATCCTCACACCTCTGTTTTCTAGAGTGATGGTTTCTAGCTCCAGTAATCTAATATTTGATTTCCTGATAAATATATATATAAAATCTGCCTGTGAGAGGAGATTTCTGGACCAGCAGAAAAAAGAGATCGAATTTGCTGCTGATTTCCCATATGGTTAAATCAATCACTAGGTAGAATTATGCCATTTTTGTCATGCCTCTGTCACCTCAAGGGTGCCAATAGCATGTTCCTTGAATGATTTGCTCTAAAACTCTGATATTTTCATCTGTTTCTGGATTGCTCTGGGAAATTCTGAATTGAAGCAGAAGTAAATTTATTCCCTTTCCTTTCTAGAAAAAAAGGTTGACAAATTGGTCAGTACTGCAGGGGATTTCTGGGTTGACAAAGACAATTTTGGTTTGATGGTGTGGGCTTAGTTTTCCAGCCTGAAAGTTATTCTTTTTTTTTTGTCCTTGGTTTCAGATTTTCCACTTAGAGAAATATGGAATGGGTTTCTCTTTTTCCAACCTTACAAAGGATGCACATTTTCTGCTCTCAACTTACATTATACTGGTCTTTGACTCGATCTTGTACATGGTATTGGCTCTGTATTTTGACAAAGTCCTGCCAGGTAGGTATGATTTCTCCTTGTGATCATACCTTCTTCTTCTATAGTTTGCACTGATATGGATTGCATGGGATAGTTCCTCAAGGAAATGTAGGGCTACTCCATCTCTGAGTCACCCAGATTGGGTTTGGACTAAATATTGTATCACTGAGTGACTTTTCTGCCCCTGGCAAGTCACAGAATCAATGACAAAACAGTATTTACTGTTGGTGTTTTCCTTTCTTTTTCTTTATTATGCTGCTCTTGAACTGTTTATGAGAAAATAGTGTAATAACGTGTGGGACAATATTTAATTCATTACATAAAATATTGAGTTCATTCAGTAATCCCTGAAGCCAAACTTCTTCTCTCATCTACCTCTGCTCCAAACCTGGGTTTTTTGTCTGGGCAAAGCAGCAGTTTCAAGGTAGCCAAGTATTTATTAGAACCTCCTAAATGTTTAGTTTAGGATGGTGTCTTGGTTGTGGCTTTGGTTAATGACAAGTCATCTTCTCTGCTGTTCTGACAGGCAAATTTGGCATCCCAGACCCTCCACTGTTTTGTCTGAAACCCTCATACTGGATGAGGAGCAAGAGAGGCTCCATCAGGGACATGCCCAGATCCACAGTGAACCCTGAGGAGCATCTTGGTGATGATGTAGAGCCAGTGCCCCCTGAATTCCTGGGGAAGGAGGCCATCAGGTTGGGAGAGAAGGAATTGCTATTCATGCTTATTGAACTTGGGTGTCTTAGCTTGAATGTTCCCACAGACCACTGCTCCTGCCACCAGTTTGGCCTTGGCTTCTCCAAGCAGTTTTCATGTTCATGAGGCTCTTGCAAAATGTATTGGTTCACAAAGAAAAATTAGAGCTAAAATGCAGATGAGGTAAATAAATAATTCAGGCTGGTCACTGATGGCGAAATTGGGATAAATACAGACGAAGAAATAGCAGGATTATTTTATTATTTTTTTTGCTGTGGACTTTAAACGTTGTTTCTCTAGCAATACTATGATATAGAGACATCACCACTGGCCTGAAGGAGGAAGTGGCTGTGGGACAGGCCAGGTTGGCTATGAGCCACTGGATGAACATCATGTTCATCAAAAATGTAAAACGTCCCAAGGGAAATACATGTACAGGAATCCCAAATTCATATCCTCCTTACCTTCCTTTCAGACTCTACAACATCAAAAAAGCCTACAAAAGGAAGGACAAGAAGACAGAGGCTTTAAGAGGTATGAAAGTTTTGATACTGATTCCTCTTAAAGATGAGGAAAAAGTTGTGCAAACATTTCAGTCAGTCAAAGAAAAGAAACAACACTTTGTGGCAACTGTTGATTGATGCCATTTATTTTGTTCAGATTTTACTGATTTTCTGTTTTTAATAAGACTAAAGGGAAGAAAGATTTTGCTGCTGTTGTTGTTTCATTTCTGTCTTCTCTGCTAAATACAGAGCTGCTTCTTTTGCCTTTAGTAAAAGGTTTGCAGAACTTTGCCTGACGTTACTTAAGGCAATTTCAGCTAATTATTTCTACTCAGTTCTTATATTTCTTAACTTCTCATGACTTTGACAATGAGTGGAAGCAAGTCAAGCCTCATTTCTTCCCAAACTTGATGTTGTTTTCCACAATGAGTGGAGGCAAGTCAAGCCTAATTTCTTCCCAAACTTGATGTTGTTTTCATTCTAGGTTTGTCTTTAAACATTTATGAGGGTCAGATCACTGCCTTGCTTGGCCACAGTGGGGCTGGAAAGACAACACTGTTAAACATCCTCAGTGGGCTCACATTCCCTTCAGAAGGTAGGATGGCAAACAGTATGATGGGATGGGCTTAATTCAAAAACTGTAAAGACCAGTTCATTCCACTTGATCACTTTTATTCCTCTCAACAGGCTCTGCCAACATATACAACTGCAAACTCTCAGAAACAGGAGACAGGGAAGAGATTAGAGAGATGATTGGCATTTGCCCTCAGTTCAACGTCCACTTTGAAGTCTTGACAGTGAAAGAGAACTTGAAAACTTTTGCAGAAATCAAAGGCATCAAGTCCAAAGATGTAGAGAAAGAGGTAAGTCTGTGTTGCCCTGGAACACATCACTGTGCAGCAATGCAGAGCTCCAAGCAAATCCCACGTTGCAGTCGAGGATCCTTTTGCACTGGGGAACAAAAAGAATCCACCTGGTTGCTGTGTCTTCTGACAATTAAAGCTCAAACCCACATCCAGCCTGGCCTGGAACACTTCCAGACATGAGGCAACCACAGCTTCTCTGGGAAACCTGTGCCAGTGTCTCACCACCCTCACAGGGAAGAATTTCCTCCTAATATCTTACCTAAATCTACTCTAATAAGGGGTGGAAGGACAACTGCTGCTGAGAATGGACATCCTTGTGCTGTTCTAGGTGCAAACCATTTTGGAACTGCTGGATATCAGTAACATCCAAGATACTCAAGCTGAGAAACTGAGTGGTGGGCAGAAAAGGAAGTTATCCATTGGAATAGCTATGCTTGGAAACCCTCAGGTAAAGCAGTAGGAATGGCTCTGGAATATAAAATCATAGAATTTTAGGGGTTGGAATGGAGCTTAGAGATCATCTAGTCCCAACCCCTGCCCTGGACAGGGACACCTCCCACCAGAACAGGCTGCTCAAGGCTTTATCCAACCTGGCTTTGAACACTGCCAGGGTTGGGGCAGCCACAGCCTCCCTGGGCAACCTGGGCCAGTGTTTCACCAAATATAGAGACTATTCAGGTCCAGAATAACTAAAACCTTGTGCATGTCTTCAACTACAAGTCCCTGCATGATTTCAGACTTCTTTATTAATTGTTATGATTATGAGCACTTTAATGTCATCATTTAGTATTTTAAAATGAATTTAACTCATAGTTCATGAGTTCAAATTTATAACTCATCTCCAAAACTAGACTTGCTCACCTAGTTTTGAAGCACACAGAGAGTTCCCTGACCCCTCACAGCACCCAGAACATCTGCCCTTGCATAAACATTGACCTGGGTCTCTTGCCTTCAGGACCTGAAGCTTTCAGAACACCAAATCCAAGAGACACATGATGGCTCTGGTGATGAGAAATGTCTGGTTTCATCCTTTCTGCAGGTTTTGTTGCTGGATGAGCCAACTGCTGGGTTGGATCCTCTTTCCAGGCACCAGGTGTGGAGTGTCCTCCGGGAGCACCGTGCGGGACGGGTGATCCTCTTCAGTACCCAGTTCATGGATGAGGCTGATATCTTGGCAGGTGGGCAAGGCTCAGCCTGGGGCATCTCTACAGGGCAACCCTGGAGCAGAGAGCCCCTGTGAGCTGCAGTTTCTAAAAAGTGTAGAATGATTGTTCTGCAGTATAATTTCCTTTGGCTTTTCCTCTTTTCAGACCGCAAAGCTTTCATCTCGCACGGGAAGCTCAAGTGTGTTGGTTCCTCTTTATTCCTGAAGAAAAAATGGGGGATTTGTTATCATTTAAGGTACTTACTTCAGCCTCAACTGATATCTGGGGACATGCATGTACATGGGGACACCAGAATTAACGTAAGGGGGAAACTGTAGAGGAGACATCATCAAAACAATTCAATTTACTGAATGAATATTGAATTAAACTAACTGAGACAGCATTTTGTGACAGAGTAAGGAAAGAAGGAAGTATGCTGGAGTTTGCTTTCAATGCATCTTGGCAAATCCAGTGGTGGCTGTGTTTTGTTTGGATGGGTTTGAGTTGGGTTTATTCCAAAACTAAGTGTTTGTGTTTTTCAACCCAACAGGATCCATGTCAGTGAGTCTTGTGACTTAGAGAACGTGACATCCCTGGTGAAACATCACATCCCCAATGCCACATTCTCAGGACACAGCCAATATGAGCTGAGATACAAACTGCCATTAGAAAATGTGAAAAAATTCCCAGGTAATGCATAGGAAAATCATTGGGAGTTACGCATAGAGAGAAAACATAATCACAAATGTTTTCCCTGTTGCTGGAGATGCTCCAGTCAGATTGACTCAGTTGAACCAAAGTCTAGTCTGGAGATATGTGATCATGCACTTGCTTTATCTCTCTCCTGCAGATTTGTTCAGTGGCCTTGACAGCTGCTCTGAGCAGGGAATTATGAACTATGGAGTTAGGATGACAACCCTGGAGGATGTCTTCCTGAGGCTGGAGGGAGAAACCACCGTGGACCAAGAAGGTACAAATGTGAATACACAATCCACAGCCAAAGAGATCAGCTCCTTTGCAATAACCCCTGGAACATGCTTCCAAATGTGGCTCTTAAATTGTCATGAATTGCAGCATGGAAGCTGATCTTAGTGCTTGTGGAAACTCTCTGCAGATGAGCATGTCCCTGGGGAGGAGTGGGCAGAAGCAGGACCACAATGCTCTGAAGAGACACCCCTAGGCTCCCTGCTGCTCTCAGACACTGGGAAGGCTTCAGTGGATGGTTTGGCTCTCTGGAGGCAGCAGGTCTCTGCCATGGCATGGGTGCACTTCTTAAAGCTCAAGGGTTCAGTGAAAAACCTGCGGTCAATGTAAGTACCAAAGTGATTTTCTCTTGGAGATGTGGAACTGGACCCAGTCACAGCAGAGGGGATGAGTTCATAGAAACATATAGAAACATAGAGTTTTAGAGGTGGGAATGGACCTCACAGATCATCCAGCCCCAACCTCCTGCCCTGGGCAGGGACACCTCCCACCAGAGCAGGTTGCTCAAGGCTCATCCAACCTGGCTGTGAACACTGCCAGGGTTGGGGCAGCCACAGCCTCCCTGGGCAACCTGGGACAGTGTCTCACCACCAGAACAGGGAAAAACCTCTCCCTAATATCTAGCTTAAATTTCCCTTAGTTCAATTTGAACCCATTACCCCTTGTCCTATCACTGCAGCTCCTAACAGAGTCCCTCTCCAGCTTCCTTGTAGGCCCCATAAATTTCCACACCTCTGTTTTGATGACAGTTTGGATTAACTGATAGCAGGTCTTGGCTTGAATTATTTTGTTAATCTGCACTCAGAGAGGAAAGCTTCCTCCTTTCCCCATGCCAGTAACACAAATCTTCTTTTTGTGCATTTTCATTTCTATACTGAATAATTTATGAAAGACAAACCCATTTTCTTTCTGAAGAAAAGAATCATTTAGAAGCATTTTGGTTTCAAATGAAGGAGGAGGGTTTAAAATGAGTTGATATGTACAGAGAGTACTTTCAGACTTCCTCTTCATTTTTTTTCTCCAGTTCTCTCATGTTACCAGTGTCTGAACTCATTGGGCCTGCTGGAGTTCAAGCTGACATTTCCTGCTAGGGCACAAGAAGCAAAAGGAAGATGCTGATTTATGAAAACCTTGTATCTTAAGGAAGCCTGAAAGGCATTTCATGACCCTAAAATGTTGAGCACTCCAGGCCTGAGGTCCTCTCCCTGCTAAACTTTGAATACCTTTGTGATCAAGATCTGAGACTTTTGAAAACAAACTTGCCTGAAATTTTTAGCAGAAAGAGCTTTGAGTAACCAGAATATTGTCCACCATTTCCAACACACAAATTCCGCTGAATATCTGTTTTCAGAGTGTTTATTCATCTCTTTCTCAATGTAGTTTGCTGCTCTATGTGGTTTTTCTGCTTCCTCTGGTTTTGCAACTGTCCCTGCTTGCTGCCTGGAAGAGTGCAAGTTTTTGGGAGCTCTCAGCTGCACGGTACTTCTTGCCCTTGGGGAAGAGGTCTCATGTGGGGACAACCACCCTCCTGGTCCACAACAACACAGGTGAGGGAAGGAGCCTTTCCTCACCCTTCTCTATTCTAGGGCTTCTTGTTGTTCCAGAGGAAATATGTGACAGAGCAGCTAGTTGCAGGATGTCAGGTGTATAAGGGGTAATGAAGGTTTTCATGGCTGAAGAGCATAAAAATTGTCTTTAAAGAGTTGTGAAGGAAACCCACTTTGGCTTCAGCAGCTGGGGAAATCCTGATGTGAAAAGGGATATCAGAGCAGATCGTAGAATCGTAGAATTTTAGGGGTTGGAATGGACCTTAGAGATCAGATTAGAAATGAGATTAGATAGGACACAGTTCTTTTCCTGCTCCAAATCAAGACCTCTATCCAAGCAATTCCTGCATTTTCAGTATGGGATTCTCAAACCATCCTGCAGTAAGGGCAGACTGACACTGAGCCAAATTAATGCTCTACTTCCAGAGTTTTCCCTTCAACATTCCCACGAGTGAAGGCTCTTTTACATTACTTGGCCAGAGTACAACACTGTTCCCTTCATCAGACCATCACAAAGGAGAAAACATTTTGTATCACCTCAGAAATGGCAGGGGAGGAAAAAAATGACACTGCAAAAATTCAGTCAATGAGACAGAAATCCATTAACTTCAGAAAAATGAATGTGCACTGATCCACCACATGTGTGCTGGCTGATGTCCACAGCTATTAGACTTCCTCTGGTCAAACCATCAAAGCCTCTTCTGTTTTTCAGTATTATGATTCCTCTGCTTTTGGCCTTCACACCAGGCACAGGCATTGACGACTTCATCCACGTGCTGGAGAGCCAAGACCTTACAGTGGAAATAACTAATGAGGAAAACATCACAGAGGAACTAAAACACTATGGGGCTATCCAAGTGTCTCGTAAAGGTCAGGTGAGGATTTTTCTCCTCTTCCTTCTGTTTCTTCCCAACAGTTGACTAACTAAGCAAGATCTCTGTGGAATAGTCCCATTGAATGAGGCCCAGATACAAAGATCTGAAAGTGTTTTAAGCAGTAAAGTAAATGCTAGAGGAGACTTTATCTCCCTCACCTTCCACCCCACACTTTACAACAATACAAACTTCCAATAGTCATCATTCAGGGGTTTTTTAGCAAAAAAAAAAAAAGGCATAAGCAAAACTATTTCAGGCCTGGCTTCTCCTGGTGTGCTCTTTTTCTACTGCTTCCCCATAGATGTAAAAAACCAAGAGTTTTCATCTTGTTTTCTTGCTCTTCAAAGAGCTACAGGTTCACTGTGTTGTGCCACTTGGAGGCCGTCAACTGCTTCCCAGTGCTTGTGAATGTCATCAGCAATGCTCTGCTCAGAGCCCTCAATTCCACTGGGCACATTCGGGTCTGGAATCATCCATTCTTCTCTGTAAGTGTCAGAGCTTGGCAGCCACAAAGTGTCAGAAAACAGCTGAGGGTTTCAGTAAACTGTCAGATTTTAATGGGAAGCTATGTAGAGCTGTCTGTACCTGTAAACCCACCTTCCATGGTAGTGGCTCTGGGATCACATTTCACTTCAGGAAAACTGAAGTTCACTTTTCCCTTGTGAGTCTCCAGGGCTGCTGAACAGAGAGGGTGGTTGGGAGGGTTTCTTCAGGGCGTTTCTTATTCTCTACATCACATTATTCAAGCTGTGGCCCATCAGTTGGCAGTAGAGAGAGCTCACTGCCAGTCTGGGTGGTGAAGTGGGACCTGCACCATCCATCTCTCCTCAGCATTGCCAAGCACTTTGCAGGGCAATGTTTTGGGAAAACCTTCTTTCTGCCACTGTTTGGTTTCAAATCCCACTTTGTGTGCCCTGTAACTCCTGAGAAATGCAGTCAGATGAACAGTTGCATCTAACCATTATGTTGCAGATGTTTTCTCCAAATGCTTTATCCTTTCTGTTTTCAGCTCTACCACACAGTCCACTGGGATTATTTTCTTTCTTTTTATCTCATCTATATGACGTTGTTATTCCCTGGGTTTCCTCCTCACTTTGCCATGGGCTGCACACAGGATTACAAGGTAAACTCCTTGAAATGGAGCAGATTTGGGATGGGCAGAAAGGATTGCGATAAAATCATTAAATCATTCAGGTTGGAAAATGCCTCTGATGCCATTGAGTCTGTATAATGCACAGCTCAAGGTGATTTCCTCTGCATTGCTCTGAACAGCTTTGCAGGCAGCACAACAATGTTCAAAGAGGAAAAGAGGTTGAATTTCCCCCCCAATATCACAGTGGTGACAGCTTTTTATTCCCTTTTTCTTCCCTGCAGCCATTCCCAGGGGTGCAGTTGGCCAACCAGGCACGGACAATAATCTGCCCTTTGCCTTGTGCTTTCCCAGGTGGGAGCTCGTGCCCAGCTGAGGATCTCTGGGCTTGTTCCCTCGGCATACTGGTGTGGCCAGGCACTGGTGGACATCCCTCTGTGTTGGCTTCTGCTCTTCTCCATGTTTGGCCTTCAGTTTGCCATGAGGACCAAGATTTCTGGGAGCATCGGCACCTTCTTCTTGCTGGTACGTCCCATTCTATTCTCCAGGGAGGGATTGAGGTAATATTTTGAGCATGTGGAGGGTCAGCTGAGACACTGTGGGTTCAGAAGGTACTAGCACAACTCTGGGTCCCCTTACTGACCTTCTCCTTGTTTCTCCTCCTATCATTTGGGTTTCTCCAGCTGGAAATAAAAGGCAATTAATCTTGCAGTAAAATTGTGGTCATTTCTAACTGCCCTGAGCTTAATGTATGATCATTTACACTGAACCTCATTGGATTCCTGGTGATTCACATCACTCCATTTCCTCCAACAAAAGTCTTTCTTTTTTTTTCTGTAGGCCACTGGAACTTTGGGTTATGGAATTTCTATTGTTCTCTTCATCTACCTGATCTCCTTCAACTCTCGCAAAGGATGGAACTGTGACCTTTGGTCTTTTATCCTGATACTGGTAAGCATATGGTTAGGTAATACACTGCAGGGCTCAGAAATGTATTTTGAGATCTTAAGGATGAACTAGATGTCAAAACATCATGTAGAGATGTAGAACATAAATATGGTTATGTGCTTTATAGCAGCCAATTCTATATTAGATTCATGTCACCATGTTCTGTTCCCACAATCCTGCTGTGACATGCATTTCCCCTGGAAATACTTGGATCCAGCCTGAGCTGGTGCAGGAATGGAGGCAAAAAAAGTTATTTATCACCCTGCTGGACACCTCACATCCAAGAGATATAAGGTGTTGAGACAGGAGCCATCAGGTTAGATACAGCCTGACCTGGAAGGAGATGGATTATTTGGCATGAATTGGGATGGGAATGAACAGAAGGGGATCTCAGGCTTCATTCTTCTGCCTGTGCCTAGGAAGAAGCCTCCCCAGTTGACCCCAAGCAGCAGCTTACCCTCAGGCAGAAACAGCTGAAGAGATGTCTTGTATTTATTTTTGTCCATTTCTATAAATCCAACAGGGAATTGCAAAGCTCGACCCACATAATTTTAAAGCCCAGTGAGTATAACCCTTCCCATCAGCTAAGACACCCTCTTGTTTTATTTTCAGATATGCTTTGTTTCTCTTTTCATCAACAAAATCATTAATTTGTACACCTACTCTAATGCCTCCAACTATGTTTTCTGCCTCTTGATTCCTGTGTTCCCACTGCTGGGTTTAGTGGATCGCAACAACAAGGTAAGGGATGGTTCTGGGCAAGGAGAGGCATAAAACACAACTATGAGTCCTTGTGAGCAAAGTCTGGTGCTAACTGCATGCTGCAGCCTGGGAAGGCTCATTCTGGATGGGATTTTCCAGAAGGCAGAGTGCATCAGTAGACAACTCTTTTAGATCAGGTCTCATTTTTCCAGCAGTTCATTAGAGCTGGGGCTGCTTCCTGTGCAGCTGAGCTGTGACTAAAGATTAGGTAAGCACTCAATTCTCTCCATGCAGAATCAGAGTCATACAACAGAATCATAGAATGGTTTGGGTTGGAAGGGACCTTAAAAACCATCTCATTCCACCCCTTGCCATGGGCAGGGACACCTTCCACTGGACCAGGTTGCTCCAAACCCCATCCAACCTGGTCTTGAACACCATCAGGGATGGAGCAGCCACATAGTCAAGCAACTTGGCTTGAACAATCCCCAGAGAAAATCTGAAGTCACACATCTGACTTTGCATGGAAACTGAGTGAGAATTGAGGAGACTCACAGGGCACTTTACTCCGTGTCAGCTGAGGGTGAACTGTCCCTCTGTCCTGTCCCACTCACCTCCACCTCTTCTCCACTGAGACCCAAAGGAGAGAGCTCAGATGTTTTCCTGTGACAGGACATCACCCCCAGAAGGAGAGTCTGGTACAAGTATTGAGAGCTGTGACATTTCTGGTATAGGACTGGGAGGTCCAACATAAAACATCCGTGTTTGCTCATCTGTATGGTGAAGGTTTTGGGTAAATCAGAAGCTTTTGGACATTTTCCAATGTGCATTTTTGAATGTTATTGTATTACCCATGGGTCTGCTAAAGAATCACAGGTCTTCATTGTGTGTTGTTTTTCTTCTTACAGATTTTTTCGGAAAGTGTGGCTCCAGAAAGTGATGAACTAGTCGCTGCCTTCGCAGTAAGAAAACATTTAACATTACTTTTATTTAAGAACGTTGATCTCTTAAACCCCTTCCCCAGTTCTGAGGAAACAGGCAAGAACCCTGAGCTCTTTGCATGCAGGAGAATGATCTCAGTGGGTCTGGAGGAGATTCTCCCTGTGCTGAAATAACCTCTGAACACCTTTGAAATGGGAAAGGGAAAAGCCCAGATCACTTAATTCTGCTCTGTTGTTTTGAGCTGGGTTTTTTTTTTTCCTGCCTTTAGTACTTTCTGCAGTGTTGATAAGTGATAATAGAGTTCACAGCCTTCAGGATTACCCTGAGTTTAGATGTTAATGGGCTTCATCTTCACATACTGTATTTTCCCACACACAGTTTCTAACACTGCCACCACCTCAGTGTCAGCTGTAGCAGGAGGGAATTAATGTGTCGACCTCTCTTTTTTTTTTTTTTTTTTTGCAGCCTTATATCCATTCTGTGGCTTTCATTTTTCTTCTTCGCTCTTTGGAGACAAAATATGGACAAGCAGTTCTGAGAAAGGACCCAATATTTAGGTTTGTAGCAACACACCTACACCACAGGCACATGGGAGATCTAAATTCCTACCACATTGCTTTCCCTTGGATTTGTGTCTTTCTTTATAAATAGGTTGGTTTTTTAATACTGGTGGGTTTTTTAATGACTAAAATAGCCTCTTAAATACTGATGTGATAGTATAAAACTGCTCTCAAGCTTGTTTGTACCTCCACATGGTGCTACCTGATGTACCAGCTCAGGTCTTGGTACAACACAGAAAGATTATAAATCTTTTAATTATAATAACAACAGCAACAAGAAGCATTGAATCAGAGGGACATTTTGTCTTGGTCTATCCAAAACACATTGGTGGAGAAAAAGGGTAAAGAACAAAACCCTAAGACAAATCTGGTGTGTTTTCAGGATTTCCCCAAGGAGAGAAAGCAACCACCAACACCTCAAGGAGCTTGAAGAGGAAGATGAAGATGTTAAAGCAGAAAGAGAAGCAGTGAGAAATGCCATAGTGGCTCGGAGTCAGGAGGAGGTATGACCAAGTGTTGTCCTTGTTTCATTCTGTGCCTGGTAAAACACAAACCATCAGCTCTCAATAAGTGCAGGGCAGTGCTTTGGGTGCATTGTTCTCACTGGGAAAATCAAACTTCCACTAGTACAGTGTGGGTTCCATCAGGATAGAGAAGAAAGTTGTTAAGAGGAAAATGGGCAATAAAATGTCATGTTGCACCTCATATCCCTGGTGAGCTATAAAACAAAGGTCTTTAGAAGGGTTTTTTTTTTTTTGCTTTGTAAATGGAAAAATATTACTGAAGGATTCATGCTAGCCAAGATAATAAACTAATCTTGCTTCTTCCTCCTCACTTGCAGAAATCAGTCATCATAGTCAGCAATCTGTGCAAGGAATATAAAATCAAGCAAGCTGGTTCAGTTTTCAAGAAAAAGAAGAAAACAGCAACCAAAAACATTTCCTTCTGTGTTAAAAAAGGTAAGAGCTGGAACTGATGTGCTAGACCTGTTTTGAACCCTGATCATACCCAGAGAGTTCATTCTCTGCAGATTCTCAGTTACCTGAGCAAGGACATAAAAAGGTCAAATTTATTTGCTCTGTCATCAAAGCACCTTCAGTCTGGGGTTGATGTGCTAGTGATCAGTGTGGTGTGGATGGATCCTATTAGTTAGCTTTGACTATCCATCATCTAAAATAACAGATCCTGCAGAGAGGGGACACCTTTAGCAGTGGCTTCTGGGAGCAATGCTCAGACTCAGAGCATCAAGGAAAGGTTGGATGGAGCTCTGAGAAACCTGGGCTAGTAGGAGGTGTCCCTGCCCATGGGAGGGGGTTGAAACTAGATGGTCTTTAGGGTCCCTTCCAACCCAAACCATTCCATGATTCTGTGATCAATCAGACTTGAAACCTTATGAGCTCTCAGAACATGGATTTATACTGTTCACTTTTCTATGAACTTTGATATTAGGACACTCTCTATTTTTTCTTCTGATATATTTCTTGAGTGTGGTGTATTCCTGAGAAATGATATGTATTGATTCCAGGAGAAGTATTAGGACTTCTGGGGCCCAATGGAGCTGGTAAAAGCACAGCTATCAAAATGATTACTGGAGAGACCAACTTGACTGCTGGGCAGGTAGGAGACATCTGGAGCAAAGGGAGATAGATCCATGATAACAGTGCAAACCTTGTACTTCGGCTAAGCTCTAACTTTGGTCGCAGCATTATAAGTGAGCAAGGTCTTAATCGAATTCATTGTGCTACTAAATTAATTGATGTATTAACAAAAGTATTGGGAGCTACTTCTAACTTTAACAATCTACCCTAATTGGCCATGTTTCTCTTTAAAAACCATGCAAATGAGCATTGCAAAAATCACTCCCTTGATCATTGGGTTTCCTTCCTACACCCCAAAGAAGCTCATAATCTTCCCCTGAGCCATATCCTTGTGCCTGGACAAGGCTGTGTGAGAGAGGAATGACCAGTCTGGTTGTGCAGGTGCTGATGAAGAGGGGACAAGGAGCAATCTCCCAGCTCCAGGACCACAGTCCTTCCTTCCTGGGGTACTGCCCCCAGGAGAACCCACTCTGGTCAGACCTCACCGTGCACGAGCACCTGCAAACCTACGCGGCCGTGAAAGGAGTGTGCAAGGAGGACACAACTGCTGCTGTCAACAGGTATGGATGGTTGGGCAATGTTTTATCCCCTAGTCATGGGGAGGGGACCAGAAAGTTAAAATTCACCCTGAGCCAGAGGAAACATTGAAGGGAACTCAGGAAATGGAGCTGCAAAAGTGCTTTTATGTTAAATACTGCGATGAAGTGTGTGGGTTAAGAAAAGCTCCAATTTGCCTGAGTGCATTTAGTGGGGATAAATTTGCCACTAATGTCCTTTTAAGTGTGTTATCTTGAGGCAGCTTTTCTGAAATCTCTGATGTTGTAGTTTGGCAGGACAAGAAAAGGGTGCTTAAGTACTGTGTGCTCAGCTGACACTGGCAAGGTAGAATGGATTTGTAATGCTGTTGGCACTAATGGTGGGTTTAGAAAAGAGCTCGTGGCCTCTTCAGCAGAATTTGCTTCAAATATTCACTTACATTTTAATAACACAATAAATGTTTAATGAAAACAAGCAGGAGTCAAAAGCAAGGGTAAGAAAGTTGGTTTTTTAGGTGTCATTTTGAGAATCCTTGATGTGAGTATTGATTTGGAATGACAAAAATGTCCTTTTTTTTTTTTTTTCACTTGTCCCCTCTCCCCACAGAATAGTGAATGCTCTGCAGCTTCAGGATTACCTGAAAAAAAAAGCCAGAAAATTATCTGCTGGGGTAACCAGAAAGGTATGTTTTGCTTTACCTCTACTGAGCAATGAGCAATGCTCATAGCACAAACTGCTTCATGAGTGGAGGGACCTACCTGTGCTCTGAGCTACCCCTGAGAGTATCGTGTTGCCTCCCATGTTGGGGTGGTGGAAATGAGCTTTTTCCAAACCACATTTCCTAGAAATCAGAACCTTCATTCTCTCAGACAAAGTGATGTGTAAATAGAGTGCCAGAGACTGTAAAAGATTTGACAGAAGCCCTTTCCCTGTCGTAGCTGTGTGTCGCAATATGCATGTTGGGCAACCCTTCTGTCCTGCTCCTGGATGAGCCCTCCACTGGCATGGACCCCAATGGGCAGCGCTGTGTGTGGTGAGTAGGACCTCAGCCACTAGGTCACCACAGTGGGAAAGGGGTGGGAAGTGCTTTAGGTTAGATAAAAAGTGTTTTACTCCCTCCACAATTAGTGCTGCTCATCACGTGCCAACGGTTTTATTGGAAGCTCAGTTTTCTTGGTTGTCTCTAGCTAAGCATGAGAAAAGAGAGAGCAAAATTATTTTACCTTCATCCTTTTTGTAAACTTTAGGATAGTCCTAAATGGGATTTGGGCGAATTCCTAAAGAGACTTGAATCAAAAGTATTTTTTGGCGTTATATCAAAGTATTGCCCTGTGCTCATCAGCCTGAAGTTGCTGCATGTGAAGGTTTGACACTTGTTTTAGGGGAGAGGCATTTGGAGGGCCAAAGGGCTAAGAAAAAGAGTCTGATATTCCTTGGGAGTGATCCTTGGGATTGTTTTGCTTTTTTCCCCTTCTGGTGCTCAGGAAAATGATTCGTGATGCCTTGAAAACCAAGGAGTCAGGAGCCATCCTGACAACACACTACATGGAGGAGGCCGAGGCAGTGTGTGACCGTGTGGCCATCATGGTGTCTGGGCACCTCAGGTAGGTGGCAATGCAACCAACCCACAGTTTCTCCTCCAACCTCACCTGGCCAAGCCATCACCATGAGTGTTATGAAGTGCTCCCCATGGATTTCCCATTTGGGAAGGAGCAGGCAGTGGGGCAGCAATGGTTTCACCCCTGACATCTGTTCTTCTTCCTCCCTCCCCTGTAGATGTATTGGCTCCATTCAGTACCTAAAGAACAAGTTTGGCAAAGGTTATCTACTGGAAATCAAGGTGAAGGATCCAGAGCACAGTGATCTTCTCCATGCTGAGATTTTGAGGATTTTCCCCAGTGCAGCCCGTCAGGAGAGGTAACTAAAACATATGGGATGAATAGTGGTATCAACACTACCTCATCCTGAAAAACATGCCCAGTGTGATGTCCACAAAGGCTCTCAGCTGGAGAAGGATGAACATCTCAGGGTCCCTGTAAGGGGATCTGATTTGTTAATGTCACCACATCCAGCCCTGCTGTGATCCCAGCAGCAAAACATCCAAACATCCATAAAGTTCTGATCCCAGAACCTCAACACAGAGCAAGAACCACCTTTTCTTCTTTTCTCCAAGGTTCCCCTCTTTGCTTGTCTACAAGGTCCCAATGGAAGATGCACTGCCCCTATCTCAGTCTTTCTCCAAGCTGGAGAAAGGTAAGAGCCAAACAAGATGACTTTTGGAAAAGGTGGAACAGAGGCTGCTGATTTTTGAATCTCTTCCCATTTTCCCACAGCCAAACAAACCTGCAACCTCGAGGAGTACAGCTTCTCCTTGAATACTTTGACTCAGGTAGGTGATTTCAAGGCTAGACCTGGGCTGGTGCAGTGGCTGCACGACCAAAAAAACTGCCTGAATGTGGTGGGTGAGGTGTCCTGGACTAGCAAAGTGGGGGAAAATGATATTTTTAATAAAGAGATTTAGCATGGTAAGAGCAAGTCTAGGTAAAGTCTCAGACTCCACTTGCTGAGACAGGCACACAACACACCAAGGGATGGATGCCCTTGGTAGATGTTCATGCCCAACCTCTCCAGTTGCTCCAGAAGCAGCTGGTTGTTTTTGCTGGTGCAGGGCTGGTGGCAAAGAGGAGGAATGTTTATGTCAATGCATTGGTGGACAAAACTCTCTGGATATAGCTATAGGTACCTCTCAGCAGGTTATACCAGAGAGCACAGGAGTCTCAGCTACTGCACAGCTGCTCCCCCATAAAGCTACTCCACACACCTCTTGCAGGGGCTGCAGAGCTGTAAAGGAGCATCACAGCATCTAGTGAGAGTCAGGTTTTATTTTGTCCTTTCTAGGTGTTTTTGGAACTCTCCCGAGAGCAGGAAAAGGATAACTTTGATCCAACTTTGGATGGGACTTTCGACTGGAAACAGCTCCAGCAGGAGGATTGTTAGAGGCCTACAATGCTCATTTACACATACTCAATATTAACCAAACTGCACATATTTACTGCCAATATCAGCACACCACAGAGAGGAGGAACAGGCTCTGCTGAGGACTCCTCTCCCATGCAGAAGGCATTTCACTTGGACTCTGCAGGTGTCTACACTAAGCTCCATCCCAAGCTGAACTTCCAGTGGCTGGTTGACTAAACAGTGCTCACACTGGTGAGAGCTCTTATCAAGCAGAGAAACTTGCAGCAGAGAGACTGAAAGGTTTTCAGGAAGAAGGGTCATAACCCATCCCTGGGAATCAAGGCTCTGCTTTCCTCAGTGGATCTGGTTGCATCAGGGAATATGGACACACTGCCAACCTTTGGGGCTCCTCTCCCACCAATGTCTGGGACTATTTGCCTATGTTTAAATACATCTTACTGAAATTTGCACTCTACTTTTATAGCTTTCCAATAAATGTCTCTATAGATACTGCAGTTGCACCTTCATCTGTCATCATTGCTATGGACAGCAGGAAGAGCTAAGCCACTCAAGCTCCTTCCCCTGGGGATGGAGGTGCCTGCAGAGGACTCAGGGGTGCTGGCAGGTGGTTGTAGACCCTCATGTTTACTGTCTCTATCAGCCTGGTTGGGTGAGTACTCATCCCTGCCTTCCCTCCATGCTGGGGTGAGTGGCTGTCAGTCCTTCCCATGGAAACCAGCCTGGGCTGTTCAGCCTGGAGAAGAGAAGGCTCCAGGGATTTGTTAGAGCCCCTTCCAGTAGCTGGAAGCTAGAGAGGGACTTTTGACCAAGGGCACGTAGTGATAGGACAAGGGAGAATGACTTCAACAAACAGAGGGAGGGTTAGATTAGACACTAAAAGGAATTTTTTTACAGTGAGGGTGGTGAGGCTCAGGCACAGATTGCCCAGAGAAGCTGTGGCTCTCTCATCCCTGGAAGTGTTCCAGACCAGGTTGGATTGGGCTTAGAGCAACCTGGGCTAGTTGAAAATGATTCTTGTCACTGCAAGGAGGTTGGATAGGTGACCCTTAATGGTCTCTTCCAACCCAAATCTATGATTAACCTCCTGTTATTTCTGTGCCAAACTTATTTGTAAAGGTGAAAACTCTCCAATTCTCTACACACAATCCCAGCAGTGGCTGTGTTGCAATCACTGCTTGTGTGTGTTCCCCACTCAGCTGCAAAGCATATTTTGGCAGTTGCAGGACACATATTTAGAGAGATCCTGGTTATTTCCACTCTGGTTGCACAACATCTCCTTTCCTACTCCTCACCCCTGGGAAATGAGTAAGTGAACTCACCAGACATCTTGGTCACCTGTTCAGACACTCAGCTCCAGGAAATGGGAATTCTGTGAAAAGGAAGAGTTTTGTTTAGTGCTCTGGGGATGTCAGCAGAGGAAGATGAGGCAAACAGACATAGCTCCATCACCTCCTGCACAAGGAAGAGAAGAAGACCCACAGAGAGTCCCCAAAGAGAAGCTGGTTGAAGCTGGGGCTTGGCATCAGCCTGGAGGGAAAGGGGACAGGGCTTGTGGCATTGCCAGCACACAGTGGAGATTTCCAGGTCCTGGCCCATGGCCAGTGCTTGGAGAAAGGAGTTTTGTCACCAGCACAAAGCAGAGTTTAGCTGGCAAGATGGAATGAACAAAAGTTCTCAAAAAGTTCACGAGGGCTTAGCTTTTCCATTGGAAAGCAAAAGAACAAGAGACAGAGAGATTTCCTGGAAATGAACTGACTTCTTAAATATTCCCTTTAGAGTTTGCCTCCACCTCCCTCCCTTCCCTTGCCCTGAGCTGAAAGGCTGCAGGAGGAAAACTATCCCCTGTAGCTGCAGTGGCTCTGCCTGTGAGCTCTGAGAGTGCTGGGGCTGACAGCACCCCACTTGGAAGCATCCTGCTCCAGCATGAAACCAGCTCCAGAGCTGCCTAACATTCTGGTTATTCCCCTTGTTTTCCAGCACAGCGAGAGCCCTCGGTGCCCTTTGCTGATAAACCTGGAGCAGAGCACATTGGCTGTGCCAGAGGGTGTCCCAGCACAGAATGGGTGAGTCAGCTCCTCTGTGGATGCCACACACTCCTCACAGTAACTCAGGCAAAACTTAGTCTTATTAACAGGGAGATTCTTATTTAATAGATGGAATAATTCCCTCTTTATGCAGCAAAGCCCCAAAGCACACAAAGGGCCATTCACCAGCCACTTCCAGTGCGGATTCCAAGCATCATGTCATCCTGAAATGACAGCAAAAAGCAGCCCAAGACTTTCAGGTTAGGTGAGAAAAGTGGTGCTGTATGGTAGTTTTTGTGTGCTGAGGACAAGAGAAGCAAGGCTCAAGGTTTGGGAGCCTGTGTTACACCCTGTCAAGTTTGGGGGAGCAAAGGGGTGTTTGAAGGGTTGACAGGAATGACAGAGCTTTCCAGGTCTCCTCCAAGCAGTGACAGAGAAGAATATCACCATCCCTGGAGGTTTTCAAGCTGAGACTGAATGTGGCACTTAGTGCCATGGTCTAGTAACCACGGTAGGGTTGGACTCGATGATCTTGGAGGTATCTTCCAACCAGGTTGATTCTATGATGATCCTATGATTCTATGATGAATATTGTCTAGTTCAAAGGCTAATTAAGCAACTCCCATGAAGTGCAAGTTAGCAAAAAAATTCTCAAATTTCTGAGAATTTCAAGGAACTTCACAACCAGCAGTGGTGCAAGCTTCAAAATAGCTGAGACAAACTTCTGTGGGGTGGGAGGAGGGCAAAGCTCAATGATGTCAAGCAAAGGACTGGTGGCCTGAAGGGAAAGTCCATACAAGATGTTCTCCTGCCTGCAGATACCCTGTGGGGTAAAGGCAATGTACCCCAGCCCAGTGCATCCCCTCCCAGCCCTTTCTGTATCCCATTCCCAGCAGCAGTGCCATGACCATGTGTCCTTCCTGGGTTGGTGCCTCCAGGTCTTGCAGCTCAGCTGGGTGAAAAACATCCTTTTTATTTGAGCAAGCCAGGCAGGAAGAAAACAGGAGACAGGAGCAGCACCAAAGAGAAAGTTCTTTGTGTGTGTTCTGGAAGGAAAGGCACCACAAATACTGAGTGTCCCATGCTGTGATGTTAATGAGCATCTCCAGCCAGGCAGACACCACAAAAGGCTTCATCAGAGTGGACACAGCTCCTTCCTGTGCAGCACCATGTGTGTCTGTCCCAGAACAGAGTCAGATGTTCTTCAAGCAGAAGAAATGAGGCAAGGCAGATGCTGGCAACCTCGAAAGCACTGGAGGCCAATTCTCTTTTTCCAGTCACTTGAGACAGAAGAGGGAATTGGGACTGGATTCCATCTCCATGTGTGGATGGGTGAGTAGGGTGTATCAACTCCACAGCTAATGTGAACCAGCACAGCACATGAGTACCAGGGAGTCCTAACAAGCATCTCTCAACACATTTAATTTTCAAGCCTTTTAAGCTTGAATTACTATGCACAGGAAAGTTGAGAGGAAGATTTTTTTCCTCTTGCATTGATTCACTCTGATTTGACTTAGCCCCTCGACTCTCAGCTCAAAATACTCTCTTTAGCAGCAGATGGATAAAATATCAGGCAGAAGATGATGTGTGGCTGTGACAGCAGCCAAACCCAACAAAATATTTGCTTCAAAGCAGGAAGAAGGATAGCATGTCCAGCTGGGAAAAGCAGGAAATAGGTTTGAAATGAGTGAAAGAAGGGGACAGAGAAGGAGACAATTGTGTAAGTCATGATGTTTCAATTGCAACAGGCCTGAATTATAACAGAAGTTCATGAACTTGTGTTCTAGGCAAAATGGAAGTGTTTGATTCATTACTGTGCATCTTCTTCCTGGCACAGACATGAGCTGGTGGTTTATGGACAGGTAAGGAAGGACACAGGCAGCTGAGCCCATGGACTAAATCCATCCTCCTGCAGGGCTTTGGGATTTTCAGGATGAATTCTGGCTATTTGAAAATATCAGAAGTCATCTAGTTGAATAATTCATGTCCCTAGAGAGGTCTTGGGTTGGGTCAGCAGGAGCCTGGATGCCAAAGGCAAATCCATCCCATGAATTTTTGTGGTATGCTGGAACAGGTTCTGCTGTGTCATTGTGGCAGTGAAATATCACAGGTTTGCTGGAAGAATTGCCACCAGCATCAATAGATCCCTGTCTCTCCCAAATAAATGGATGCAGCTATAGGAACCTAGAATATCTATACATAATCAGCCCTTGCAGGTGGCTCCACAGCCTGAACCTCCCTTTGAGCAGCTTCTTTCTCTCTTTCTCTCACTCTCTTTTTCGCTTTCTTATATTTCTTTCTTGTCTTTCTTTTTTTTTGTCTTCCCCTATGTCCCCAGTGAGAGCCAGGAGCCAGCTGAGTCACCATTTCCTCCAACCACAAAACTCAAGATGACCCAAGGCATCTTCCTTCTCATCCAGGCACATGAATGAAGCTATTTTTGCCCACCAACACCTGCTTGGATCCCAGTGGGATTCCAGCCCACAACAACCACCCAGCAGGCTCAGCAGATCTCTGTGGGAGTGATGGACACAGAATTCCAACAGCTGGAGCACAGCTGGGAAGGGAGGTTAGTGCTGCCAGGGTTGAGCTGGAAATGGTGGTTTTTTGTGTGTGTTTTTCAGCTATTTCAGTCCTGTGAGCACACGTGGACTAAGAGGCAAAGTCTGCACTGGGCTACTGGAAATACTCCTTATGTTCCCAGTGCCAGCAAAAAGTCATTAATTAATTAAAGTGAGTGCCATAGGATGAGAGGAGGATTTGAGGCAGTGCTCAGCATCACCTTAGGCAGCTGAGGACATCTCCTTGTTGGCATGGGCCACAGCTTCCTCCACCCACAGACTTTGGTTTTCCTTGGCCTCACTGTGAGAAATTCATTTCATGTTCTAAATGCAAATCCTCCAAAGGATTCTCAGGATGCTAAGGAGGAATTCAGAAAGAACAACCAAAAGAAGCAAGAGGAGGTGAGTTGTGTTTTTTTTTGTTTTTTTCTTC